CCGATCTCTACAGGAATTTCAATATTTTCTTTTCACAATCGATTTTAAGCTTTTTATGCTATGATTACAAGAATTGGATGATCATAATAAGGGAACATCGCGCATTACATTTACATAGCGCTTCAATCGGCCTACTTAATGAGAAAACTTTAAGTTTTATAACATCAAGTGAAGTGAGTGGTCTTGTTGGAAAAATAAAACGAGGAATTCCCATCTATTAAATTATATGCCTGTGGTATGCTTATGAAAAATAATACATATGATTTATTAATTTCTTAAAATTTTAATAAAAAAATATTTTTTAATTCTTTAATTAGTATTTTTAAAACACCTATTAACAAAACCTAATAAAGTTACCGTTTAACTTTCACCCCTTTGAAATTCATCTTTACAAGTATACTTTTTCATGTAATGATTTTATTTTCGTGTATTTTTATTTTTTTTAAAAAAATTATATTAAAAATCAATTTAAGTGTGATTTTTTAAAATAACTATTATAAAAATTAATAAATTTATCATGCATATATATTTATTATTGGATAATAATATTAAAAAAAAATACCATTACTGTCATTATAAGTAGATTGTTTCTTTCGATTTAAAATATTGTTTGTAAATGAACGGTTAAAATTTATTAATTAGTACCCATTTTAGAGGACCATTCTTTCGTTTGACTTCCATTAAATTTGTATTCTGAATTCATAATAGTAACTTCTTTTGTGTTCCACCTATAATTTTGAAGAGGGAAATTCGCATTTATCACTTTTGCATGCTAGTCAAATTTTAGGTGTTGCTTTTAGACTTAAATTCGTGTACACCAACCACTCAAAGCAAGAAAAAGGTGTGACTTTAACATGCTACAAGATGTTTACTTTTTTAATGGGACGAAATAAATAATTAAGGAAATATGTCTTCTTAAGAATAACTAATATTCAGTCACTTAATTTCATATATATTCCATCTATTTGTAAAGCCGTTTATGTTGTATTAACGATGCTTTGAAGTTCCACTCTTTAAAATATCATATAAAATTCTAAAAATTATTAAATTTCAAAAATATAATTATATTTTACTAAATTATTTTGACTCTTTATTAGTATTGTTGTTTATTCTGCTTAGCACATGTAACTAGTTTTTTTATTACAATGGTATTTTTAAAACTTAAAACAAATTTAATAAACATATAAATTATTATTTAAAAATAATAAATATATTTTTATATGATAAAAATAAAAACAAAATATAAAATATTTTAAATTGTGGAATCTGACTTGATATCTTTTGTCTTCGACATTATTTATCGGGCTGTCTCTCAACAAATTAAGACGTAACATTATTTTAAATCATGTGTTATTTTCTTGTGCAAAATTTCTCCACAAACTTGCTTAAAATATCTCTCAATTGACTTCTATTATGATTTCACAACATCTAGGTCCTTCATGACTACTTTGTGATGATGGTCCAATTCCCTAAAAATCTCAACCAGCTTCTCATAATATCTAGTTAGTGTTCTATTATTTTGTTTTCCGATAAATACCCTTTGATTCAAGGCAAACACTTAGAGCTCACTACTTCCATCATAGAATGTGTTTGACAAAACATTCCAAATATCAAGGGTAGTGAGTAATTGAATATACCTTTTCATGATTTATGGCTTTGTGCACTACAAGAAAATTCGGTATTTCAGACGGCAAAAATCCGTGGGAAATGCCCAAAATCCGTGGGTAATGAGGCATTTCCGACGGATTTCCGACTTTAATACAATTGAGCGGGTATCCCAACATAATTATAATAAAGATGCAATAGTAATGTTAATCATCGTTAGAAATGCGTATCACAAGCAAATTTTAAAGCACTATACCTAGGGGTGTCAAAACCATGTTGTATATTACGCCACCACTGCAAAGTCTACAGAATTATGTTTCTCTAATGCAGTCCAATTTATTTTCAAGACCCACAAGCTCTTGACATGAATTAAACTGCATTATTAGAAGATGTTAGCAGTAACAAATAAAATTTTCACAATGCAGGGGAAAAAAGAAGCACACACAACTATTACATAGGAAGCTGTTTTGGTTTAGCATTAAAGAATATATCATTTTCTTGAAAGATTGACCATCAACAGTTACTTGGTTTACGCAGGCTAATGAACTTTTTGTCAAGCATGCCAAAAGATGAACAACATAAAGTATAAAAATACATACCTGTGAGATGATAATGACTGCTTAAACTCATCTTCTTCTTACTGCCAAAAAACTGAATGTTGCTTCTCAACTTATCAATTGCTTCAAGATAGTTTTCCAAGTCTTCACATGGCTTTTTCCGCTGCCCGTATAATAGATCAATGATAATAAAAAAAATGTAAAAATATTTATTCCATATATCTTATAAAAAAAATGGAGAAAAGACATTTAGTTGTCATCTTGTAAATCAATTTTTTTAATTACAAGAGCATGAAGAGAATTTAAAGAGCTATCCATAACATATTACGACATTGCTTCCTTATTCTTTTGCATTTAAAAATAAATAAATATCTCTCATCACAAACACAATTGCAAGCCACAATTCACATTTGTTAAAATTAAAAAAAGAAAAATCAACTCAAATAAAGACATTTGTTTCATTCTACCACTCCACGCACACATACTGATTACATCACTTTAATTTCTACCTTCCATTGGCACAAGGTAACCAAATTGAGAAATAGATAGAAAAACCTTATCAAGTAACAAAGACAAACAAAAATTAGAAAGAAATGAAACGAGAAATTGATTTGAAAAGTAGAGAAGCAAAAACAATTCGTAACATCACTTTAATTTTACCTTCCATAAACACGTCACCAAATTGAGGAATTGTAATATCCATTTCCATCAGTTGTTACACCACACTAAAAGAACATCAAAACAAAAAGAAAAACATAGTGCAAAACAAAGACAAAAAAGAATTAAAAAAAATGAAACAAGAATAAAAAAGAAATCGTGCAAGAAATTGACATGAAATGCAAAGAAGCAAATGCAGTTCATAACATCACTTTAATTTCTACCTTCCACTAGTACAATGTCACCAGCGTGAGGAACCATAATATCCATATCCACTAGTTGTTGCACCTCACAAAAAGAACATCAAAACAACAAGAAAAATTCCAATACATAAAATCGCTTTTTGGATGAGGGAAAAATGTTATGTATGTGAGCCAATTAGGCATAAAAAGAAAAGGAAGGAATAATAAGGAACTTACACAAAGCTTGGTCTTGATCAAGTCTATGGGGAAAGTTGTGGTCTCTGCCACCATAGTT